TTCTGTATTTTAAAGTACCGCTTAAAAATGCCCGAGGCTCAATAAAAATTCAAGCTCCGTATCTTCGACTGCTTTCTCTTTCAATGAACAAATTCAAGGATTGTTTTAGTTCAATATCACTTTGATGAGATCTCGCTAGAAAGCAAAAGTACCAGATATTGTTCGTGCAGTCGTCAAGTTCACTCGTTTGATTCTATTTATAGTGAGATATATATACCAAATATACCCCACGGAGAGTGCAATAACGGTTTAATGTGATTTTAAGTACGATCTAAGTGCTTAAATATATCAATTATTGAACTCTATTAGAAAAGGATTAACAAATTAACGGTTTGCAAAATCTTTCCATTTTCGTTGGTTAGGCCTTCAGAATAGGAATTCCCCAAGTTGTCCAAGAGGATGGGAGACCACGCTCACTCTAGAGTGCACGCACTAAAACCGTGAACATTAAATAGTACTAATTAGTACTATTTCRTACAGAATCCTTTGTTTTCTATTGTTTAATTATCACTATTTAGTGCTAAAAATTAGTATTTGTTTCACGGATTTAGTGTGAGCACTCTATTTCAACTACGTGATTTTAGGTACAACCGTATTGTGTATAAACTGCCTTGGTCGCTACCAGTGGATGTATTCGAAACTCCCTAAGGGTACGAAGAGTGATCTCTCCAGGAATATTAATCAAGCGATACATCAAATATTTCATATTTTAACTCCCCTGCTTTGGTCACCAGAGACGCTCTAAGGATCTTAAATCAAAGTCATCCGATTAAGATGGCTATCTGTTATTTCTAACGCCGGTAATGATGGTGGGGGATACACGATGTGTAAAGACACGCAAGGTGAAAAATGGCTTGCTTAGTAGGGTAATAATATTTGTAATATATTGAAATGGATAATGGCATAGGATGGATGGTTGGGTGGGTAGATAAATGGAATAGGATGTGTGAGTGGTTGGGTGGATGGATGGTTAAATGGAATAGGATGGATGGATGGATGGATGGATGGATGAGTGAATGGATAGATAGATAGATTAGGATGATTGAATGATTGGATGGATAAATGGAATTGGATGGATGGATGGATGGATGGATGGATGGATGGATGGATGGATGGATGGATGGACTAACGGAATGGCATAGAATGAATGGATGGTTGGGTTGTTGGGAGGGTGGATGGACAGATTGGTGGATGAAAGAATGGAAGAATGGCATGGGATGAAAATATGGATGGATGACAGTGGGTAAAGAACATGGGAAATGGAAAATTGAAATGGGATTGGTTGAATAAATGGGATGGTAGACGAACGTAACCAAACAAATTCTATATTTGTGTAATTCCTATTCATTAGAGTGCATACCGTATATCTGTGAAAAAGTAAAAAACTAATAAAATCGAACAAATTAGTGTAAAGTTTTGTAGGACTACAGTCTACTGAGGTCTACTGAACTTAACAAGTTTTTAAAATTTGTGCAATATTTTACAAAATTTTTTCAAGGATATTTGATATGCACTCTTATATCATATTCGTGTAAATAAGTGGTGCAAAAAGAAATCTGAAGTTCCAAATGGTAATTTTCACAGTACGCATAATTAGACTTCACGAAAGTAGGATTATCTGTAAGGAAGGATATTCTCAATATCAAAACTGATATCAGACTTTCTATAGACATGCAATTCGCCTTGGGAGTAAATCATAAATCACGAAATTTTTTTTTTTACCCAAGTTAAAAAACAAAAAACATTAATATACATAATCACAGATTTTTAGATTTTGTCCTCCCTTTTGGCGGGAAAAACTGACATGAGAGTAACGCGTGTGGCGAAGTAGAGCCATGGAGGGTCTGTCTGATAGGAATCAATGTAATCTTTGGCTTAACACAAGAAACACGCCGAAAGCCGTTTTATAGCACCTGACATCGAGATGGACATCTAGAAAGGTAATCCTATTGGTAGGTACTGAAAAGATTAAAAATTTGCGTAGAAGAGTTTACAATACTCAAGGAAATAGGAAAAGAATTCGAAAAAAATTCCTTAAAGTGATTTTAGTCGTGAAAGAAAGTTCATAATAAATGACTAAGGATCAACGTAAAATAGAATATATTAATGGAATTAGTTTCTACTACTCTGTATTATGTTACTACTTTTTTCATGGGCCAAGTAGTAAAATCATTCCAAAACAAACAAATCAAACATCAATTTTATCAAATCCTGAAACAATTTTTGGGTATATAAGTCACAAGGTAAGACATTTGTAAGTTTATGTTATTTTTATTTTTTGGAGGGACCGTTAATCTATATATAGCGCTTTGAAGAATATTTATACCAGACAAGTTTCCTTCTCAGTCTCCAAGTATTGTAAGCCATAACATCAGAAAAATCAAATCCAATTCAGAATCATAAAAAAGAATGACGTATTGATACCAATTCTGATATCTTCATGGCTTTAAACCTGAACTTTTTAGTACTGATTGACGTCATTAAACTATATTCTGACGTCATTAAACTATATTCTGACGTCATGTGCTGTGAACATGAAATGTGCTTGGTGCGAAAAAGGTCTGGTATAAACTGCCTCTTATGCATAGAACGGTTTTCGTATGGGTGGGAAAAATACATTACTGACTTACAGCACGTACACGTTACAACATGAGGTAAAAATGAAATGGCTTCTTATAAGAATGGTTTTTGTATGAGTGGGAAACGTACGGTACTGACTTACAGCACGCACACGTGACGACATGCCGTAACAGTGAAAAGGTTTTCCAGAATGGTTATTACACGGTACGACATGCCGTAACAGTGAAAAGGCTTTCCATTAGGAAAGTTTTCATATGAGTGGGAAACATACGGTACTGACTTACGAGGTACGACATACCGTAACATTGCAATGGCTTTCCATAATAATAGCTATCGCATGAATGGGAAACGTACGGTACTAACACGGTAACACTGAAATGGTTTCCCATTAGGATGGTTATCGTATGAGTGGGAAACGTTACAGCACGTACACGGTATTCGACTAAGGGAACGGCTTTCCAAAACTAATTCATCCAATCAAAACACGTAGTTACGGTTACGGTAAGATGCCGTACGGTTACAGTACAACTACTRAATTGGCGTATCGTGTTATTGTAGTCAATACTGTGTATGGAGCCGTTTGTCTAAATWACTGACTTCAATTCTATAGAAATCAGAATACTATATGGTAAAATTATAGTCTCACAGTATAACGCCTAACATTATTGACGCACATTTGTTCTCTCTCGCTCTCTCTCTCTCTCTCTCCTTTTTCTCAGCCTTTAACTTATGTGAAAACAGTGGAGAAGTAAAAGAATCTCATTTAAACAATTCCCGTYTTATACTCATAGCACTGGCTCAACTTACAACCCAAAATGGCGGTCCCTTTTCATCTACGCCTAGACGTATTCAAAATATAGAGCTATGGTTTTATCACCGCTTATAGTTACAACTGTCAAATGTACATTTTCTAAATATGAGTCACCATTTTCATTTTCCATTTTCTATTTTTGAGAATTAAATTTCGAAATCATTTTGTTATTTACCTCTACTTCAGGTCGAATTTTAATGCAGATGTAATAAATGACTTCTAAACATGGTTAGCAAGTTAACCTTCCCATGAAATAATCCTGTAGCGTCTACAAATGTTAGAGTGGACATGTTATTTGGAGAGTCTACTATCAAAAAAGTTASTCTAAACTGTACGATCCGGCCGCGGGCGATAGTTTAATATATAGCAGGGATAAAATTAAGCAAAGATTTTTCAGACACATAATTTAGCTATCATTTATAAAGTTGGTAACAGTGAAGGAGTGAAATAATGACAGCACGAGAAAAATTGATGTGTTGAGTGTTTACGTTTAAGTGGTTTGTTGATGAATATGGGAGATGGAAAATACAGAAACAAAGCAAAGAAGGAAGGAAAGAAGGAAGGAAGGAAGGAAGAAAGAAACGAAGAACATACGAAAGGAAACGTGGATCCTACATTTTGAAATATTTTTCTTCAAGTGGCAAAACTGAATAGGATACGAAGCAATTGACAAACAAAATAAATGGAAATTAAAAATATAAATGATGATATAAATATTTTGTTGCGTGAAGTAAAAACCATTTAATAAATAGGAAATTCTCAATAACTGAGAAATTAAAAATGAATAAGGAAAAAAATTTAAAAYGAAATATTTGTTTGCGCGAAGTAAATACTACCTAATAAATAGAAAATTATTTATAAATTGACAAATCAAAAGATAATGAAGAAAACAATATAAAGTCAGATCGTTTGGGTAGAAATATTTCCTTGGGCGAAGTGGGGGAAAAATTCCTTAATAATTATGGAAATTTAAACTGTAAAACGAAACGTTGAGCATTCTGAATTGTCTTCTTTGAAGTGGAAGAACTCGAAATGAAGTGAGATGTTAGAACTTCGAGAGGAAACGTCAAAGTCTTTCCTGGTTTTGTTCTATTTTGATTCAATCGATTCGTTAAACAACTCAGAACTAAATATTGAAGGTGACTTGAAAAGACGATATTATATGCGTTACAAATTAAAGAACATTTTTTGTGAGAAAAAAATTTTGGAAGTAATATATATATATATAATATATATTTTTTTTTTTGAAGTTGTACGTCGTATTGTATCTGAACTAAATAAAGAACGTAACTTGCGCTTTACGCGATAAAAAGATACTTTGAAATACGAATTAAAGAAAAGATTATTTGTGAGGAAAAATATTTTTTGAAGTAAAAAAATATTTTTTGTTTGGAAGACAAGTGAAATTTTACGTTGCATCGTATCTGAACTAAATAAAGAACGTAACTTGCGCTTTAGGYGATAAAAAGATACTTTGAAATTATACAAATTAAAAAAAATATTTTTCCGAAAAAATTTTTGGAAGTTAAAAAATATTAACTATAAATGAACTACTAAAAAATATGATTTTTTGTTTGGAAGAAGAGAGAAATTTTAATTCTTATCTTACCTTTCTCGTTTTTTCTTGTCTGTCTTATCCTGTCTTTCTGTCAGCATGCGCACTTTCTCCTGAGAAACGCAACCAGCGAAGACCAGCTAGTTCAGTCTATCAAGTCTATATCATTTCACCACCAGAAACTCGCTCATTAATATAAACTAGGAATAAATGAAGATCACGCATAAGTTTCAAGCTAAATGCAAAAAATATACGAGCTACATTAAAGYCCACCAGCACGTTATTAATGACAACGAGGAATACTTGTCAAACTCGTTAATGTACGTTCTAATGACAAATGAAGAGTGTAAATGACTTTTTAGAGAAGGTAGTAGCAAATGATGGCATAGAGAAACAATACCGATTCGAGCTCATACTAAGTGCATTTTTTTTTACTGTTTAGCGACAAAGAGGCAATATCAGAGGAGAGTGTCGCGTCTTACATCAGTTTACTAAGCGTTTGAATACAGTATCGAAATGAGATAGCAATCTACGCTTTGAGGTGTTCGTACAGTTGGAGTGCAATATTGAGTTTAATCGTCAGAGTTTAAGGTGTATAATTTCAAAATGAGAATAGAATTAATGGCTCAACGAGGGATCAAATTACCAAAAATGGAATATGTCAGCAAATGTAAATTGAAAAACGAAAACTAATGATTTCAGTAGTTTAAGAGAAAGTAGGTAACGGAGACAGGTTTCATTTTTTTATCCTTACTTACTTGTTCTTTCTTTCTTTCTCTCTCTCTTTTCTTTCTTTCTTTCTTTCTTTTTTTCTTTCTTTCTTTTCTTTCTTTCTTTCTTTCTTTTTCTGCCTTCGTTACGTTTTGTTTATGCTTTTTCTTTCTTCGCTCGCTTTTTTCTTTTGTTTTCTTTTTTCTTTATTACTGATTTCCTTTCTTCCCTGTTTCTTTCTTTTTTCTCTTTCTCCCCCCTTTCTTACGTTACCTTTTCTTTTTCCATCTTATTTTTATCTCTCTGTTTCGAACTTTTTTACTACCATCATCTCAAACTTCTTCTCCCATTTTCTACTTTTTCCAGATATATTTCCCAA